TATATATATATATATGAGAGTAGAGAATATGGTGAATTTGTAATCCTTAAACTACAATTAATCCCAATACAGTTTCCTTAACAAGGCTAAAGTATTCTACTTTAGCTTCTTTTTCTTTGGTCTTCTATTTCTTTTTCTTCTTCGTCTTCTTTTTCTTTTTCCTCATGTTATTCTTTCTCTTGTTTTAAAATAAAAATGCAAGACTTGAAATTTGTCTTAACTTGGAAAGGAAGGAATATAAGGGGTTGTTCATCATATATACAAACTCTGCATAAGTGATATACGTGTTAGGACCGCAAAAGTCAGGTGTTATACGGAAGCTAGCAAATCAAACCTTGAACGACGATAAATCACACAGCAAAGAAAAATATACCAAAAGAGACACAAACATTTAACGTGGTTCGGTCAATTGATCTATGTCCACGTGCGGAGATGAGCAATCCACTATATAAAAAGAGAGTACAAAATATCGAGAGAACAACCTCACGAAGAGGCAAACACAAGTGACACACTAACACTTGTCCCGTAAAGTTCTCCCCCTAAACACTACTCTCAAGCCCCTATGGCTACATTGTGGATGCTACTGAATGAGAAGGACGGATCTTCAATTTATAGAACTCCAAACTTTTTCCTACAAGAAAAAAGACTAGCCAAATATAGAAGAATTATAATTTCCTTCTACAAAAAGGAAAACCCAATTAAGGTAATTATATTGCCCTTTCCTTCAACAAATAGGAAAACCAAATATGGTAAGAAAATTATGGCAAATACCTAACAATTCTCCCCATTGGCCGGAATTTTCTGACAAAATAAACCTGATCCACCTTCTTCACATAGCCTTCAACAGGTTGCATCTCCAAATCTCCACCACAAAGTTTGTCTCAACGTGCGTAGCACACTGGTCAAATTTCTCAGACAAAAATTACGATTATCGTCAAATATGTTGCGGCTAGAACTGAACCTGCCAAGATGAACCTGTCTTGAACCTCGCTCTGATACCACTTGTTAGGACCGCAAAAGTCAGGTGTTATGCGGAATGTAGCAAAGCAAACCTTGAACGACGATAAATCACACAACAAAGAGAAATATACCAAAAGAGACACAAATATTTAACGTGGTTCGGTCAACTGACCTACGTCCACGTGCGGAGATGAGTAATCCACTATATAAAAAGAGAGTACAAAATATCGAGAGAACAACCTCACGAAGAGGCAAACACAAGTGACACACTAACACTTGTCCCGTAAAGTTCTCCCCCTAAACACTATTCTCAAGACCCTATGGCTATATTGTGGATGCTACTGAATGAGAAGGACGAATCTTCAATTTATAGAACTCCAAACCTTTTCCTACAAGAAAAAGACTAGCAAAATATAGAAGAATTATAATTTTCTTCTACAAAAAGGAAAACCCAATTAAAGTAATTATATTGCCCTTTCCTTCAACAAATAGGAAAACCAAATATGGTAAGAAAATTATGGCAAATACCTAACACGAAGCCATTATAAGAAAAAACTGGAATTAGTTATGAATTTTATCACTAATTTATCGCTAAATATTTTTAGCTAACAATTTTTTTTTAATAATCTGTCACTAATTCGTTATTGAATAGAATTAGCGATGAATTTTTCTATTTAGCTAAAATTTATTTGTCGCTAATTCCTGTTTTTTTAGTAGTGAACAAGAATGTAGGGATAAAAATTTGATTAATTGTTGGAGTACAAGAAGGAAAAAGGCTTTCTTAATCCTTACCCTTTACTTTTCTCAAAATTAAAGCTATCCATTATTTCCTATAATTGTTTGACCCTTACCTTAATTTATTGTTTAATTAATAACCTTAATCGTGATATCAACTACGTACTCCCCAACCACCCCACGTCGAATTGTTGGCGACAAGAAAAACTCATTTAAATATCCATTTAATTAAAACATTACTACGGTATAATTTGGAATATATTAATAATGCCCATGCAATTGCACTAACCCTCTAAATTTCTTGGCAAAAGCATTTAATCAATTCATTAGCAAAACAACCAAATGTTTCCTAAATTTTTGCTCATTAATTACCTCGCATTTTGTTAATTAATTTCTTCATTTTTCATTGTTAATTGAATGAGCTTGACGGATTAAATGTTAAAGTTCGTACTTAGAGTTCGTACTTATTTCAAATGAAGAGGAAGACTAGTTAGCTGACATAACAACACATGCTTTAGGTAATTATGTAACTAGTTTATACGTATGACGTAGTATTATTCTAGTTTAAATTTCGTTGTAGATCAACTGATTAATAAATTATAAAATGACCTGAGTTAGAGATTATCTATGTAAGTTGACCACCTATAGCAAATCCCTCTTCATTTATTTTAAATTATCAAATTATATTTATTAAATAGTTAGCCATAATTATGTTTTAATTAACCTGATTATATAAAATATTTTTACTTTTGTATATAACTTAAACTCATTATAAACGCAGAAGAAAAAGATGAAGATTTAAAGGGGTATTATCACTTTTAGCCCCGCCAGAAATTATTTATATATGGTAGCCGAAAAAGTATATAAAATTTGTATAATTTTTGTATTTACCATATATAACGTGTATATATATATATATATATACAAAAAAAAAATATAAATTTTATACATTTTTCGACTATTATTTTTGCAGCGGCTATACTTTGTCTTTTTCCAAAATTTTTAAATGTCAACCCCACAAATGCCAAATGAATTGTGCTTGTCATGACTATCAAATATGTGGAACTTCCAAATCCTAAAAAGAGTTGAGACTTAAAATGTAGACGCCTGAAATTTAGACCGCTCGAAGTTAAAGAATTTAGAAGCTGAAGAAAGAACGAAAAAATAACACCTTTTCTGAATGGTAAGCACTAATTTTCCTTTTCCTATTTAGGGCTATTATAAAACAGGATTGAAAACAGCCCTATAAATGAGCAAACAAGGCACCCTTTGAGATCACTCTTTTGGTTTCCTTCCACTAACTGGACTACGATCAGAACTCTCTATAACAGTTTCATTTGTTCCGATATTTTTTAATTGATATAATAAAATATTGTTATAAAGAATATATATTATAACATAACATAAAAAATAATTCCTAAAAAAAATTGTTACAGTAAAGTGTTGTTATATAGAGGTCTAACTGGTTAGTTTTCGCGCACTCATGTTTACCAAAAATATAAGCCTCCGCAAAATCATGAGATGATATGGGGCTCGAAGCCTGCTCAGTGTCGGAAAGTTAAGGAAGTTGGTAACCTGATGATAGTGGAGCCGACAACTGTAGACCAAGTGAACGACAATAGTAACTATAACGATCTTAAAGTAGAAAATTTCTTGTCTGTTAAGTTACAATTGAACGCAGGCGATCATTCAACTCAAGAGTGAAACTGTAGAGAATATATTTTAATTTGACCAAGAACGAGTGTAGCTTAATGGTCATAAAATGAGTAAAAATCACGACAGACCAGAGCTAAAATTCTAATATAAACAAAAATGTTACTATTAGCAATCTTTTTTCATCTAAGTTACTACCGGTACTTATATGGGTGGAAGATAACATATACAGCGTACCAATAAAATAATGGAAGTGTGTACAAATTAAACCTAATGCAATTATTATTTGAGGAAAAAAAAAAGTTAGTTTTTCTAGAAGTGGAAGAACAAAGTACTTTTAAACAGATAGAAGGTGAGAAAGACATGCATCCAATCACCAATACTCAAATCAATTTCTTGCATAAAATCCCATTTCACCAAACCTCATTAAAAAAAAAAATTATAACAGAAAAAATATTAATACTCCATATGATATATTTCTTTCACTCTTTTCTTTCCCTATAATTCCTATTCTTACCTGCAGATTTTTATTTTGTCAACTTATTCTCATGCACTCACTCCAACTCATTGAAAATGCAACTCTTTTCCTCCAACTTATTCAATATGAAACAATTTAGCTGCAACAATGGCAGAAAATTCAACAATCTGCCAATATGTATAGTAGTTTTCTCTTTATTCATCTTTGGGCTTTTCATGTACAGTGAGGATGTTAAGTCCATTGCTCAATTCCAATTTTCAAGACCTAATAAAATTCAAGAAATGGGGTTCAAGAATCTTCAAATAAAGAAAATGGGGTTCAAGAAAATTCCACAATCTTGAAGTCAAGTGATGATATGAAGATTGAAATGGAAGAGAAGAAAATTGAATTGCCACCTGAAAAATGTGATCTTTTTAAAGGGAAATGGGTTTATGATAATGTTACACATCCAATTTATAAAGAATATGAATGCAAGTTTTTGACACAACAGGTTACTTGCATGAAAAATGGAAGAAAAGATTCTTTGTATCAGAATTGGAGGTGGCAACCCAGAGATTGTTCTTTACCCAAGTAAGTTAAAAACTCATTCTTGAATTCTACCGTATGGGGTTGTTTAGGGCTAGTCTGTTATTCTCTTGTCGTTGTTTTTGGATTGCTAGTATTATGGTTGTTTTCTTACTATTTTCCGCTTCGGTTTTCTAATATCTTGTCGTGGTTACGCTTGTTGCTATGGCTATTGCTTTCTTCCATCTATTTTTTTGGTTTTTACATTGTTGGTCAGGGGCTTGCTTTCTTCCATCTATTTTTTTGGTTTTTACATTGTTGGACATGTTGGTATCATTTTTCTGGCCTTTGTTATTGATATTTGATTGTTTTCTCTTCATCCTTTCGAATCGAGAGTCTTTTCAAAACATCCTCTCTACCTCCCTAGGGTAAGGGTAAGGTCTGCGTACACACTATACTCCCAAGACCTTGACTTGTGGATTCCACTGGGTTTGTTGTTGTTGTATTCTTGAATTTTCAAAAAAATTAAATGGGTAGTCTGGTGCACAAAGCAACCCGCGTTCACGCAGGGTCCGAGGAAGGGCCGTACCCCAACCCTGATGCAAATATCAATGGCTGATTCCACAGCGTGGACTCGTGACCTATAGGTTCATATGGAGACAACTTGACCTTAAGGCTCCCCTTCAAAAAGATTACATTTTTATGGCCTTCTTCTCTGTTTTCTCTGTTTTTTGGTTTTTCTGAATACCATATTTTTATGATTAAATTTTCAGGTTTAGACCAAGATTGCTACTTGAAAAGCTGAGGAATAAGAGATTAATGTTTGTAGGAGATTCACTGAATAGGAACCAATGGGAATCTATGATTTGTTTGCTTCAGTCAGGAGTTCCTTTCAGCTGGACAAAATTTAAAAAGATTGGCTCTTTGAATATTTTCAACATTGAGGTATATATATATCTACAGTTCTCTTTTCCTCTGTTTGAGTAATAACATAAACTGTTACAAGCATAATTTTTTGACGTTTAATCATCCGGTATTCGAATCTCACTGGCTAGCCTAATGGATTCGTGTCGAGTAGGCCCATTGGAAGGAGTAATTGAAGAGAGATAAATAACTTAGGGGCGGAGCTAGCTCTTCGCCTACGGGTTAAGCCGAATCAAGTAGCTTTTATCTATTATGTATTTGTCTAGATCTAGTGAATATGAATAAATTATTAATTTAGAACTCAATACTTAAAAGGACCATAATCTCGAACCCATAAATTTCAAAATTTGGCTTCGCCTCGGGATATATTCACATGCTTTCTGCAACAAAATGAATTATGTTTTGATAAGAGACTATTGATACTTTATAAATTACTCCTAATTGATCAGAAGGGGTAATAGTTTTGACCTTTCATTACATGTCAAAATAATGATTTACCTTCACTTAATTGGATAACCTTAATTTAAGTAAGAACAGGTTATGATTGATTGTTCAAGACTATTTTCACCTAATATTAAGAAATTATTTACCTCTGTTGCAAGTTTCCTTTAGTAGTTGAACTAATGTCACCACCCTAAAATGTTTAGCTTAGAGTATGTTAATGTATTTTTTCCATTTAACTTAGGAGGTCACGGGTTCGAGCCGTGGAAACAACCTCTTACAGAAATGCAGGGTAAGACTGCGTACAATAGATCCTTGTGGTCCGGCCCTTTTCCGGACCTCGCACATAGCTTAGTGCACCGGACTGCCTTTTTAACTTTGGAGGTAAATATTGCAGGAGTATAATGCCACATTAGAATTTTACTGGGCTCCATATCTTGTGGAGTCAAATTCAGATGATCCAGCACTACACAGCGTTTCAACCCGATTCATTATGCCTGAATCAATTGAAAAACATGGCAATAACTGGAAAAACGTGGATTATCTCATCTTCAATACTTATGTTTGGTGGATGGGTAGTGGCAAAATGAAAGTTCTGTAAGTAAACATCTTTAGCAGAAAGAAAATACCAACTTCATTTTCTTATCTGCAACATTTAACAAAAAGTTTCTAACTCATTTTTTGTATAGACGGGGATCGTTTGATGAAGGATCGACAGAGTATGATGAGATTGAGAGGACAATAGCTTATCGAAGGGTTTTAACAACGTGGTCTCAATGGATCGAAAGCAACGTGGATCCTAATCGTACACAAGTCTTTTTCATGAGCATGTCGCCTATGCATATCAAGTAATGATCCCTTTGTTCTTATGTGCTAGTTTTTCTCTCCCTTATTAGCTTATATATATNAGATCAGTAACCTGGAAAATAAGGCATGTTACTTGCTACAGTGAGTTAGAATACACTGGTCGTGTCAAAATTTCTTATACTGTCAGTGTATATACGTAAAATCTATGAACTTTACAAGCAAACTAATGGTTGTATGGAAATGTATGAAACAGGAGTATGGACTGGAACAATCCGAATGGGATAAAATGCGCGAAAGAGACAACACCAGTACTGAACATGACAAGGCCATTAAATGTTGGGACTGATAAGAAGCTATTTGCTATAGCAACAAATGTAACTCAATCGATGAAAGTCGTTCCAGTATACTTCATGAATATCACATCTCTATCAGAATATAGGAAAGACGCGCACACTTCACTCTACACCATTCGACAGGGCAAAATGCTTACCCCCGAGCAGCAAGCTGATCCAGCCATTTATGCTGATTGTATACATTGGTGCCTCCCTGGATTGCCTGACACTTGGAATGAGTTTCTATATACGCGTATAATGTCCCGTTCTTGATATTCTGCAGATGCGGGGAAGTGGAACGGGGAAGGAGTAATGTGATGCGAACATACACTTATAGTGTGAGAGACTTCCGCAGATACCACTAGGCTATAAGTTTTGGTGGTCATTCCTCAGTTTGATTTTGATATGCTGATCAGTATTTTTTGTGCTCTTTTGAGCCTTTACATTCTGCTTATAAGACTAGTGGAGAGTCTGCAAATTGGAGGAAAACTTAGGACCAACCAAATTGTACAATGAAATTGTCTAAAGGAAATAAATAATAGATGCAAATTGTATCTATCATGCCATTTTTTCTTTGTCTATATTCTTTTTTAATTTTTTATTTTGTTAGAGAAGATATTGCAGTAGTGAGAACTGAACGATAATACAAGAAGCAAATTTGTATGTCCACATGATTCTTCAGCTGGGAAGAAAACTGGAGCTCAAGTTTTGTGCTACTTATCATAGTATGCAAATTTTTCCACTATCGAGCAAAATTTATCTACCAAAAACTCGTCATAGTACTTGATATTGTAATATGAAAAATAGAGCAGTAATTTAATGTAAAATGGTATTATTTTCGCACACAAACCAACGCAAAATAAAAGGGTGTATAATGTATACAAAAGATACAATTTGTATCGAGTATATTCTTTCGTGCAACGAATACAACAAAGGTGAAAAAAAAAAGAAATACAGAAAAATAGAATGCTCTCGTGGCTAATCAAACTCGGGTGCTCTAACCAACTGAGCTACAAGAGCTTGTCGCTCTTTTGTTTCAGTTTGCTCTCTTGTTTCAGTATTACAGGTGGATTTTGCTTTAAATTTTAAATACAACTACGAATAGTAATTTTCTGAAAGTAAACATAGTGTATATATTTGTTGTGTCGCATAATTTTTCCTTTAATGTAGCCGGTTAGATTACAATAACAGCTGTATTAATTCTTATACTATCTGTATTTAACTTTGAGTCAAAAACAAAAACAAAATATGTCCAGTTATTAAATGATGAAAGACTACACGAATTATGGGGAGAAATTCAAAAATAGCGAGATTTACAAGTGATCATTCAAAAATAGTCATAGTTTCAATCGAAATTTAGCCACTTTTCATGTAAAGATAAATCTGAACGAAAACACAGTTCAAAATCTGGAAAATACTCCAGCATAATATACTAGAGTTCTAGCATAAGTATACTGGAACTCCAGCATATTATAATGGAGTTCCAGCATAAGTATACTGGAACTCCAACGTAATATACTGGAGTTACAGTATAATATACCGGTCCAGTATAATATGCTGGAAGTTCATACACATGTGCTCCAATCTCCAGTATATTATGCTCGAACTTTCCGCGTGTTAGAATTCCAGCATAATATGCTGGAAGTTCATACACAGGTGAACTGATCTCTAGTATATTATCCTGGACCGGTTCCTGTTTCAGTAAAATAGTGGCTATTTTTCAATGACTTTGCAAACGCTAACTATTTTTGAATGACTAGTCCGAAAACTGGCTAGCCCGTGCTATTTTAACCGAATTATGCTCAAAATTTAAGAGGTCCATTATTTGTGATTTTGATTAGCCCATGGAGGGGATATTGGGTTTGCCTTGTTGGGCTGCTGGAAAAAATAACACGGTCTAGCTAGTTTTCGGACTGACCATTCAAAAATAGCCAGCGTTTGCCAAGTCATTGAGAAATAGCCACTATTTTGCTGCAACAGAGACCGTTCCAGCATAATATACTAGAGTTCGATGCACATGTGTTTGAACTTCCAGCATATTATGCTGGACCGGTATACTTTGCTGGCTCCAGTATAATATACTGGAGACTGGAGCACTGGTACTCCAAACTCCAGTATATTATGTTGGACCGGTATATTATACTGAAACTCCAGTATATAATGCTGGAGTATTTTTTCGGATTTTGAATAGTGTTTTCGTTCAGATTTATCTTTACATGAAAAGTGACTAAATTTTAATTACTTTTAAAACTGTGGCTATTTTTGAATGGCCACTTGTAAATTTGGCTATTTTTGAATTTCACTCAAATACTTTAACGTAGAAATGACACAAGGTAGCTATTCTAAAGGATGCTATTTAGGAATTAGACAGTGTGTCATGAATTTTAGTTTTTCAGTTCAATATTTCGGATAAGAATATCCTGAGTTATCCTAAAGTTAAGATTTTTAGTTTAAAATTTCAGAATCAAATAAGTACAGGGTAATCTCTAAATAGCATCCCTGAGAATGGCTATCTGTGCACTTGCCTCTAAATTAACTCAAATATCTGCTCACCCAACCCAACTGTTTAAACTAAAAAATAAAAATAGTCGATGAATATGTAATATATGTAAAAATTCATGTGTATAACTATGTATAATTAGTATAAAATTTATGTATGCCGGATAGGAAAAGCCCGACTATTTGAGTCAAAACGTGAAGTCCACATCGTTTTATGGTGTTTAACAGTTACATGAATTTCCGGTTTGTTGTCTAAAAACAAATAAATTGTACTTCGATTATTTTTGGAATAAGTGATGTTTTGATTAGTTTTTATTAGAGCTTCAAAACGGGCCAATCCAGCTCAGCCCAATCCAAGCCTCGCAGGTTTTTAAATTTGGTAGGTTAGGACGGTCCGACCAGTCACATGAACGGGCCTTAAAATGGCCAGTCCAACCCAGCCCTAAGAGTGCCACGGGCTAGGGCGGGCCGCCCCTTTAATTTATTTTTTAAGAAAAATGAATTTCTTTAAATCCTTAAATATTTTTTCGTGACATATTCGATTAATCATGTAAATAACTTCTGTTTGCTTAGAGCGTAAAAAAAGCTTGATATTTGACGAGGAATCTCATAATTGAAATGCAAATTCTCTATATCTCTAACTCTTCTTCTTTAAAGTTACATGAATATTTTCTTAATGCTTTTCTTTCATTTTCCTCAGATTCAGGGATTGCTTCAATAAGTTTAAATGCTGAGGTTTTTTAATTTAGGATTAATATCATTTGTTGATTTCATCATTATAGACCATAAAATTTTTAAAATTCCTGAAATTTGCTAGTGGTCAATTATTTTTATTTGGTGTATTCAAAAATGATCTTTTTCTATAATAAAGAGCAATTTAAATATTAATAGTATATTAAAGTGATCCAAACTGATCATTAGCCACTTAAAGTATTATTTTCTTTTGAAAATTGATTATTATTGGCCAACTAAAACTTTTCGAGTTCATTATTAATTAAGCAAAAGAAAAAATAATTTTGTCATATTACATGCATATCAAAAATGTAAATTCTAGTTGATATAGAAAGGTAAATGAGCAATCTAGGATTGGGGAATGAGAATTATAATTAATAATTTTTTTTAGTTTTTACTTTTTAAATATTAAATATTTAATAGTTAATTAATTTATTAAGTTTTAACCCACAGGCCGCCCCAGGCCCAGTCTCGGTCAAGCCTCAAGGGTTAGCGGGCTGACTTGGGCCGAGCTTATAAGCCTCAGTTTTAAATGGGCTCAAAAAATCCTAGCACAAACCTACCCAAGTAGCGGGCTGGGTTGGGATGGCCTCATAGGCTAAGCCCATTTTGACGGCTTTAGTTTTTATGTTCTACTAGACCTTTTTTGGGGAGAAATTCAAAAATAGCCAGATTTACAACTGGTCGTTCAAAAATAGCCCAGTTTTAAAAGTAATCAAAATTTAACCACTTTTCATGTAGAGATAAATCTGAGTGAAAACACTGTTCAAAACCCGGAAAATACGTCAGTATATTATACTAGAGTTCCAGGATAAGTATGCTGGAACTCCAGCATAATATGATGGAGTTCCAGCATAAGTACACTAGAACTCCAGCATAATATACTGGAGTTTCAACAAGTATAATTGTCCAGTATAATATACTGGAGTTTGGAGCACCGATGCTCCAGTCTCTAGCATATTATACAGGAGTTAGCAAAGTATACCGGTCCAGCATAATATGCTGGAGTTCATACACAGGTGCACAGAACTCCAGTATATTATGCTGGACCGGTCTCTGTTGCAGCAAAATAGTGGCTATTTTTCATTGACTTCGTAAATGCTGGTTATTTTTGAATGACCAGTCCGAAAACTGGCTATACATGAACTCCAGCATATTATGCTGGATTGGTCTCTGTTGCAGCAAAATAGTGGTTATTTTTCATTGACTTCGTAAATGCTGGCTATTTTTGAATGACCAGTCCGAAAACTAGCTATACCGTGCTATTTTTACCCTTTTTTGGGTTATCCTTGTGCTCGGAAATAATACGTGAACACAAATAAAGGATGTATATATTTTTTGTATTGGAAATTATTATTTATATGAGAAAATGTCCGTTTGTACTTTGTGTTATATAAATTCAGATTTAGGTATACTCTAGTTGCAATTGAAATAAGCTGCAAAATTTAATTTAGGTAATTCAGAGCACAAAATCATTAGTTCAGACACCATATATGAAATTTACCCACAAAAGATTACTTTGTTGTTGTTTCTCAATACTTCAGACTAGACTTGATATTAGTAATTTAATCGAACATTGAGGCGGGGTAATAAGTATCTTTTTATTTTTTGGTTCGAGCTTTGTGAATGAAGTCATCTTTGTTCAAAAGTGCTTTAATTTAGTAAAAATTATAGGGGTAACCACTTTTTAAAGTGATATTTATTTTTTATCCAGCATTTTTAATGCTTAGCAATAGTAGTCACTAGTTTATTAAAATTAATATGAAAAAACTGTGTTACCTTTTCTTCTATGTCTCTCCTCTAACGAAGATAATTTAGGTTCTCTGCTCGGTCAGAAGAATAACAAAGATTTTAGTACTTTCTGTTTCCACCTTACTTTCGATAGAAGTTGTGGATCTAGCAGCAGAGGTGCTCGTTTCTTGGCACGTCCTCTTCATTTCGTTGTTCTTTTCTTCTTTTAATTTGTGTTGGTTCTGGTTTGTGAGCTTCAGTGGTGAAATGAGTCGAATATACCAAGCCAATTCATATGGCCAGGCAACGAGAAACCTTGTGCTAATGCTCGAGAACTTCAAGTACCACATAGTGACTTAGGAGGAGTACTTTCAGGTGATCCTTTTGCAACAAAACAAGCAGCTATCCTTGTTAATGAAGCATGTCAAAAACATGGTTTTTTCCTAGTTATTAACCATGGAATTGACAATAATCTCATTTCTTGGCACGTCCTCTTCATTTCGTTGTTCTTTTCTTCTTTTTAATTTATGTTGGTTCTGGTTTGTGAGCTACAGTTACAAGTTCAAAAGTTAAGGACACTTGGTCCTGAACTTAGAGTTGCAAG